GCACAGAATTATTGTAAGCTACCTCAGCATGAGGCAACAAATCCACTCAATCATCTTGCTGGTAGTTGATGAAACAACGTAAATATTGTTCAAGTACAAAATTAGTCCTCTCACAAGCCCCATTAGTCTGAGGGTGGTGGGCGGAGCTTAATCCCTGGGCGGAGCCAATCCGCTTCAGAAACTCCTTCCAGAAAACAGAGGTGAATTGCACACCTCTGTCCAAAATGATGCGGTCGGGCACCCCATGTAAGTGGTAAATGTGGGAGATGAACATCTTAGCAAGAGTCTTAGCAGAAGGAATCTTGGAGCAAGGAATGAAATGGACCTGCTTGGAGAACAAGTTGGTAACAACCCAAATAACAGTGTGTCCTTGACTCTCAGGAAATTCCACAATGAAATCCATAGAGATCTCCTTCCAAGAGGCGACAGGGCGCGCTACAGCCTGGAGCAATCACTGCGGTTTTCCTGGCGGGCGCTTAGCAGCAGCACAAATGGGACAACTGGCAACATATTGTTCAATGTCTTTTTTCAAAGATAGCCACCAAAACTGTCTCTTGACGAGATGGAGCGTTTTAATGAAACCAAAATGCCCAGCCATTCAGGAATCATGAGCCCGCTGAAGAACAATGAGTCAAAGAGATGCAGAAACGTAAAGTTTTGCCCCAATCCAGGGCAATTCATCTCTCATAGTGCATTCATTCACGTGCTGCCAGAACCAATCATCATCAGGGAGGGCTTTCTTCAGGTTGGAAATAAAGTCCTGAGACATCTCTACTTTAGAACGTGCTTGATTCCTACTAACAACTGGAGCAGTGAGGCTTGTCATGGGAATGACAGGCTGGACCACACTGAGTTTAGAGCAGTTGTACTGAGGAAGCCTGGATAAAGCATCAGCCATAAAAATTTTCCCTCCTGGAATGTATTTCAGGGTGAAATTATACTGATTGAAATGCTGAGCCCAGAGCATCTGTTTAGGAGAAAGTTTTCTGGGAGTCCTCAAAGCTTCCAAATTCTTATGGTCAGTCCACATCTCGAACAGGTGTTTGGCGCCTTCCAGAAAATGGCGCCAAGTGACCAAAGCCCAACGAACAGCAAACGCTTCTTTCTCCCAAATGGACCAACGTCTCTCTGTGTCAGTTAGTTTGCGAGAGGTATATGCGCAGGGTTGTAAGTTACCTTCACTATTGGCTTGAAGCAATACGGCCCCCCACAGCCACGTCACTGGTGTCAGCTTGAACCACAAAAGGCGCATCCATGTCCGTGTATTTGAGGACCGGTTCCTCTGTAAAAAGCTGCTTTAACTTCTCGAAGGCAGCTTGACATTCCATGGTCCAATCCAACGGCTTGCTAGGCTTGGGTTTCGCCCCACCTTTGGACTTCAAAAGGTTAGTTATGGGAAGAGCTATCTTAGCAAAAGAGGGGATGAACTGGCGATAGAAATTGGCAAACCCCAAATTTTTTTGCAATTGCCTGCGTGTACTCCCATTCAGTGACCGCTTTTACTTTAGTGGGGTCCATCTCAACACCCACGTGGGAGATACGATAGCCCAGGTAGTCAACCTTCTTCTGATGGAATTCACATTTGGACAATTTGGAGTAAAGCTCCATGGCCCGAAGTTTTTTCAGCACGGTACGAACCAGCTTTACGTGTTCCTTTTGGAACTTACCCAGCGATGAGACTGTTCCTCATCCGATTCGTCAGACGAGCTGGAGCTAACGCCTCCCTCCTCCTCCGGCTGGAAATGCTGGGGAACATTTTCAGTGGCACACGCAGCTTCTCTCTTCTTGCCCGGGGCCTTACTTGCTCTTCCCTCTCTTCGGGGAGGGGGTGGAG